GGAGCTGCCACGAGAGTGGTCATTATGCCTGTAAAGCAAGAATCCCCTGGTGCCTCTGAGGTTCTTTGGTGGCTCCAGGCTCAGGAGGGAAGAGGCAACTTGCTGAGTGCCGCCTGGGGCTACAGCCAAAGCAATGACTCACCTGGGCCTCCCAGCCCAGCGGGACCCGCCCTTGCAGGCCTGGCACCCAAGATGCTTCACAGTGCTGGCTGCCCGGCTCCTCTCCTTCACCTGCCTCCCCCTGGAAGCCACGTGCCCAATGTGTCCACGTTAGAGACCACGCCTTGAGGCCAGGATTCTAAAATGAACCGAAGATGCACCTGGTGCACCTGGCCTTGAGAAGGAGGTTGTCACACCCAGTTCTGTTCCCGAGCAGAAGCAGCAACTAGAAGATGGATTGCTGGCTTTGATCCTGCACCTTCACACCCTTTTCATGCAAACTCCCACCCACTCGGTAGTGCAAAAGCCCAGGGATTCCTGGTGTGAGAGGCCCGGGCCCACGCCAGCGTGGTGTCAGCATTTATTTTAATCTCCGGCACTGCTGGTCTCGTTTCTGGGTCTCTGTGGTTCACCCTACACGGAAGGGACCCTCCGATTCTCGGACTGGAGGGGAAGCTGGGATGGAGTGACTCGACTTGACTTTCTTCTCATAAGCGAGGAGACAACTTGGAAAGCTGTCAGAGTGGGTGTGCATGACTCGACATCACACAGCCTGCGCTTTCCTCATCCTCGCTCAGCTCCCTACAGCTATGCTGTGTTCTTTGCCATTTGCTTTGCAAAGTAATAATAACTGCCATGTGTTAGCATTTACTCAGCGGCAGGAACTAAGCCAAATGCTTGGCAGACATTATCTTATTTGGCCTTCCGAACAGTGCCTGCCTCCCAGGGTGAGTATCCACCCATTTTACAGATAAGGAAGCGGAGTCTCAGAGGGGTGAAGTCACCGACTGAAGGTCACACAGCTATCGATGACAGGTCTGTGACTCCAGGATTGTTTCTCATAACCATTTACTATGCTGAATGCCGAAACTGAGAAGTGACTGGAATAATGAAGACATGACATTTATGTCACTGAAGAGACAAAGACATCTCTATTTTAATAAAAAGACTAAAGATGATAAAGGGGAGGGGAAGCAACAGAGAATCAGAGACTTAGAGAGTGGGCGTTGTTCAGCGCATCTGAGGAACTGGTTTTCACAGCCTTCCAGAACTATCTTCAGCTCCAGAATTATGCTGAGGCCACACCAAGTGGAGAAGGGCTTATGGAAGGTATGAGGGCTTCTTATGCAAGGACAATTGGATAAAGAACTCCATTCCTGCTAACAGACTCTCCATTCCACTGCAAACACATAAAACACTGGATAAATTAAGAAAAACATGAAATATACCACTAAGCTGAGAAGAAAGGGAAACCCCCTGGTGCCAGAAGCACGGAGAGAACTCGGGCCCAGCAGGATGGGCGTTCCGATGCTGCCGAGGTGGTCAGGAGGGGACCACGATGGTACAGGCTCTGACAGCCGACTGACTGACAGAAGTGGTCTCGGCTCTGCATGAGCTAGGAGTGAGACTCCCAGCAAAAGCTGAAGCACAAAAGGCTGCTTCTCCATGTAAGGTGGGCCAGGAAAACTGTTCCCCACTGGCCCAGGGAGTCAGCAAGCAAGATGAACCTGCAGAGGAGGTGGCAGGGCGCAGTTGAGAGAGCTAGGCCTCTGTGATGAATCAAACCAGCCTGTGCCATGCACGGGTGACAAACCCAAACCTCTGTGGTGCAGGAAAGGCAACTTGAGAATTCACGTAACCAGTGTTTCCAGGCCAGTGGGAGCCCCAGGTACCGAGCACATAAATGCATCGCACTGTGTGAGGTGCTTCTGTGACCCAGGGGACACGGGAGTCTCATGGGAGTGGTACTTTCAGGAAGCTCACCTCCACTGGTTCGGCTTCAGCATAAATGTGGAGCTGAAGATAGTTCTGAAAGGATGTGGAAGCCAGAGGGAGACAGCACAGTCGAAGATGAGCTCATAATCAAAAATCAAACCACACAAGCAAATAAACCACCATATGGGAGAATCAGCAGACACAACTAACAACAAGGACCAGCACCTCAAGAAGAGACTATGTAGTAAGCTTTAAGTTATTACAAAAATAAAAAGCAGTATCCTATGATCAAAGTGCTGAATTTGAAAACCATATAGAACTTTTACAATGTTTTAAAAAAGTCATTGAGGAGAAAAAAAAGTCATTGGAATTAAAAAACTTAATAGTTAGGTTAAAGCAGAAAAGTGTAATAGTTAAAGAGAGAATCAGTGAACTGAAGACAGATCTAAGGAACTAAGCCAGATATCATCCGATATAATAAAGAGGTAATATGCAAATTAACCCTCACACCCTAACAAGATGGCTGCCTACGACCAGGCCGGCAGGGGGGATTAGTGAGGGATGACCAAACGACTGAACAAGCAGGCTGCGTG